CTCAGGCTGGTCTCGAACTCCTGAGCTCAAACAATCTGCCCGCCTCGGCCTCCCAAAGTGCTAAACTTACTCTTTTTGAGAACTGAAACCTGCATCCCTCCCTGCCTCCCAGCAGTGGTTGGGAGGAGCAGGGAGAAGGCCTTTGTTCTTGTATCCCAGGCTGCTACCAGCCTGGGCCCCCCCACCTGTGGGCCTTTGTGTTTGGCAGAGATGGGACAATTAGAATAGCTAACCGCAATAGCCTAGAACTGAGGGGTCCTCCCTTTAAAAGCTTTGTATTTCTGCTTATGTTCAGGAAATCTGGATTTTGAGATGAGAAGGTCTAACCATTTTTCCTCCTTTACTGGCAAAGTAATAAACTTCTCTTTCCTTCTCCTCAAACCACATGTTCTCTCATTCTTCTGATGAGGGCTCAAAAACAAGTGCTGAGTTTTTGGTAACATCTATATGGAGAAAAATGATTGACTGCTACTTCACATCACACCAAAAGAAAAAAAATCAATTCCAACTGGAATGTAGATCTAGATGTGAAAGATAAAGTTTCCAGAAGAAAGCACAAACAATATCTTTATTACCTTAAATTAGGTAAACATTTCTTTAAAAGGACTAAGCCAAAAGGAAGAAAAAAATTGATAATTTGGTCATTAAAATTAAGAACTTTTATTACTACTCAAAGACCAACAGAAATGGAGTGAAAATGCAAGTCACAGACCAGGAGAAGATATCTGCAATACATATAGTCAACAAAAAAATGCTTAAAAATAGAGATAAAAACAAGATTTTAAAGAAAAAGTGCCATATAAACCAACATGACATTGCTGCTGAAACAAAAATAGTTTACGGCTACATTAGTGAAATTACCAAGCCAAGATAAAATGAGGTAATAGTCTCACTTTTATTGCTCATTAATGACGACATCTGAAATGTCATCATTTTGGAAAAACAAAAGAGTATACCTAGAAAAATTAAAACCACTTACCAGAGATGTCAAGGGAAAACTTTTATTTTACTGTGTAGTGAGACTACTTCTGTCATTCCCAAAGTGAACACATATCCATAACAGTATGAAACTTTTTAAAAATACAAATATCCACAGCTGCCACCACAAGCCCAATAGGTCTGGGAGTGGGGCCTAGAACCTATTTTGAAGGAAGCCTCCTGGGTGATTCTGATACACCTATTAGTCTAATGGTTCAAGATCCTGTATTTGGAAACCACATAATTAGATAGCTTTAAGATTCCTTATAGTTCCAAAATTCTAATAAAAATCATTTTTATATAAACACTTTGTGGCAGAGTTTTATCTTTGTAAATCAAAAATACTTTAGCAAAATAAATTGAGAATACCTGAAATGTGTATCACTTTGACTAGTTTTCAATTTTTTCCCCAAATTCACATAACAAAATTGTCACGAACTTGAAAATACTATTATATGAAACAACTTCTCTACAAGTGCCAAGAACACAGTAAGGTACTCGAATGAACCATAAAAAAAGATAATCACCATTCATTTAACAAATTTTAACTGTGAGCCTATTATATGCCAGTAAACAAAAATGACATAACTGTACCCTCTCAAAGAAACTCCGAAATCACCAGGAAATTATAATACTGCATACTATCATAACCTAAAAGAACACAGGAGGAACTTAGGTATTTGTCATTCATTCACTCATGCATATAAAAAATTTCTTGGCCACTATTTTATATCCCAATCACTACATTAAGTACTAGGGATAAAAAGATGTGTAAGGCATCTTATAAACTTGTGCAGTGGATAAACTTCATGATGATTTGTAAAAAGAAAATAACTGTATGATAGAACTGTAAAAATTTCTAAAAGAAAAGGCATACAGCCAACAGTAATTGAGATCAGCTGGCTACCTCCCAAAAAAACTCCAACACTGGTAATACCTGAATAGTTCACTTGAACTCTGTATAAATATTGATGAAAGGAAGAGCAATTTTTTGTTCACTAAAGACAATGGTATGAAGATGTTCACACTCTGTGGCTAACTAAATATCTAGAAATAAAGAAGGTTTATGTGCTCACTTTGGCAGTGCAGATACTAAAACTGGAATCATACGGCAAAGAAGATTAGCAAAAATAAAAAATAAATAACAAAGAAGGCTTACTACTGTATTAGACTACAAGGAAAGAGAACAAACCTAACTATCTTCCTAAAGCTGTAACTCAGATAACAACAAAATATAACATGTAAACAAAAACAGTAAACTCTTTTTTCAAAAAGAAACAAGATGTTCCCCAAAGAATAGAGCATATCCTTTAATGGTACATATTCCTCCAATACAGTACCAAGATACTGTAATATCTGGCAGTAGTACACTAATTTCTAATAATACTTATCTAAAGAGAGAAAACGTTACCTGATTTGTAGGCATTTTCGGCACATTGACCTTCCACATCTGGGCTTCCCTAGAGATTGCCTTTTCCAACAGGAAAGACAATCTCTGGTTTTCCAAAGGTCCTGGAAACTTCATGATATCCTTTGGATCTGCCTGCCACCCAGCTTGATGTAGCTACCTATAAAATCAAGTATGTTTATTTAATTATAGGATAAGTACATTATATATATAAATTAAGCAATTCATAGAACAAAATATTATAACAATGTTAGAGGCAGTATAGGATTTTACAGCTCTTTAAAATATCATATTAAAATGTTACAATAATAATCAGTTTTCTAAAACATTCTCATTTTATGTCTGAAATTCAGTTATAAAGAGAATAAAAACAAGGCCATATATAACTGATAGAACCTTTGGACTCTGATCAAAAAATGTTAACACTGTGTCAAACTGTCAACAGTTTTTGTCACTGGTTTTTTATACTAAAAATTCTGAGTAGTCAATCCATGTTTTGGGAGGCTGAGGCAGGAGGATTCCTTCAGTCCAGGAGTTCGAGGACAACCTGGACAACACAGTGAGACCCCCATCTCTACCAAAAATTAAAAAAATTAGCTGGGTGTGGTGGCCAGCACCTATAGCCCTAGCTAATTAGGAGGACTGACCTCGGGAGTTCAAGGTTATAGTGAGCTATAATTGCACCACTGCACTCCAGCCTGGATTACACAGACTCTCTCTCTAAAACTAAATGAAGTAGTAGGTGATCCAAACATTCCTCTTAATAACCTAATCAGATAAGGGTCACTAACTTGTTTTCGTCATTTAAAAAAATTGTATCAATTACATTAAATCCTATCCATTCCCACTTCTTCAGTATGAAACCATTCCTTAAGTACAAAATCATCTTAAATTGTACTTCAGTGTCCACTAGCTACACGTGTATTTAAATTTAAAGTGAATAAAGTTTAAAAATTAATTCTTCAGTCACGGTCGGCTCCACTTCCATAGACACATGTGGCTTAGTGGATACTGTAATGGAAGTGCAGAAAAGGAAGATTTCCATCAATGTATGAAGTTTTAACCTGACTGCTCTGATCTAGGAAGCTCCACACTACAGGGAATGTCACTCTAAAATGAGCAGTAAGCCTAAAGAGCAACGGTCTAGTGGTACAGGGCAACTGAGAGTCCAAGAGAAAAGTCTCTAGGTTCTCTTTTCTTTTTAAAAAAAAAAAAAGGTTGCTTTCAGAGATCGGTGTCAACCTAAAAGAAGAAAAAAGAAAAAAGAATATAAATAAAACGAAAGAAAGAAGAAAAAAGGAAACTACAGATTTGAGAGATTTGACTATGTGTAAAATATCAGATTGATAGTCAGGCATGGGGGCCCAAAGCTGTAATCCCAGCTACTCGGGAGGCTGAGGTGGGAAAACTGCTTGAGTGCACCACTGCACTCCAGCCTGGGCAACAGAGTGAGATTCTGTCTCAAAATTTAAAAAAAGAAAAAGAAAATTGGATTGAGAAGCTGCTGAAGAACGTAAAAAGACTTAGCTAGATTTGCTGAAAGCTAAGCAACTAAAAAAATAATTAACTTCAGAAAAAGATTATGTAAGTAAATATACGACAATATTTATGTAGCAATAATGAAAATACTAGATAGGGATTTCAACATACATTGTGATAAAACTACATTGGGAGGATGAAGGGACACAAATACGGGTGTTGGGAGAGGGTAGAACGAAAGCCACATCTTTACATTTCTTAGTAGTAAATCCATAAATAATATCTAAAACTGAAATATCAAAAAACAGGAGGAGGGCAAGTTATTTCAAAATGTGATCTTAAATAACAAGAGAAAGAGAGAAGAGCTGAGAGTCGTTAACCTCTGGGGGGTGAGAAAAGGCCTGCAGCAAGGAAATGCTGTTTTTGTAAATTTTCTATAATGAGTATGAAGTATTTCCATATTAAGAAGACAAAAGGTAAATAACTTACAGAAGACAAAGAAATAATACTTATCCCAAAAGACCCACCTCAAAGGTAGTTTCTTCCAAAAACTCTTGATTCTCTAATCATGGGATTTCTCTTCTCTGAAAGCAGCTTTCCACTATCTCCCTAACCAAAGTATAAATTCCTTTGAAGTCACATCTACCCATATCACCTCTTTACCACTCACTGTGCCCACAGCATAGTACTTTGGTAAAGCAGGGACTCAACCAATGGTTCAGTTTCATCCATCAGGGCCTAAAACAAAAACATACAACCAAAAACAAAACAAACAAACCAAAGATGTCTAATCTCTCTTTCAAAAGCCAGTCCTTCCAATGTTTGAAGGCTGCTGTCATGTTTATCAATCCATCTATTTCATAGCTGAAAAACTGTGCAATAGTCCTCACATGACATTCTGGCTTTTCTAAATTAGCACCAGTTTTACTGCAAATGCAATCTGAAGTCATTAGTTATTTTTTTGAAGGCCACACCTCACTATCAATTCAGATAAAATTTATGGTCAACAAAAACTCCTAAGACTTTCTCAGGTACACTGTTAGCCCAGCCTCCCTACCACCTGCCCCACACCATGGTGAGTGGGGGTTTTTGGTGTTTTTTTTTTTTTTTTTTTTAGCACATCCTTGTTCAGAACCTAAAAAAAAAAAAAGCCATCTTGTTAGATTCTATCCCCTGTTGCATTCTGCTGAGATGTTCTGAGATCCAATTTTGTTGCCTTGATACTTTCTTCAGATCTTCCACAATATGATAAGCAGGCTCTCTATAATTTCATTCAATACAGGCATAAATATTAACCCTAGCAATGAATGTAAACTAGGTGACCACCATTCAAGAAATATTTAGAAGAAACGCCTATACTGGATAGAGATTAGACTTCACAGGTTCAAAAGTTTCTTCCAAACTCTTGTCAAAAACCTCAAAGTTAAGTAATTCTTTCATGCCATTAGCTGCACCCAACTAGATCTACTAGCCTTCTCAACACATCCCAACTACTGGCTGTCACTAGTGATTACTGTTCCTTTACGAAGTTGCCTTTACAAGGTTTCCTTTGAAAATTATTTTTCAAGGTATAGATGAGAACAGAGAAAGACATATAGGGTAGAATCATGCAAAAAGGAGTAAGACCAGGTTCAAAGGATTCCTGTTCTCCAATCGCCTACCATTAATGCCCTTAGTAAGATTTGAATATTTAGATGTTATAACAACTTTTTTAAAACAAAGGAATTTGGTCAAAGAATTCACAAGGCAAATGAGAAAATACTTTGAGATGAATCAAAATGAAGACATAATATATTAAAATTTATGAGATGCAACAAAAGCAGTACTTAGAGGAAATTAATACTAAAAATGCCTACATTAAAAAAAGAACATCTCATAGAACCTGCAAGCCTTGGGGCCACATGTGGCCCTCCAGATCCCCCAGTGCGGCCTCTCACCCAAATCCAAACTTCACAGAACAAATCCCTTTATTAAAAGGATTTGTTCTGTAAAATTTGGATTCAGTCAAAAGGTAACCCTCAAGGATCCAGAAGGCCACATGCGGCCCCAAGGCTGCAGGTTCCCCTAGATCTTCTTCTACCTCACGATAATGGGGGGAAAAAAAAGCAAACTGTACCTAAAGCAAACCAGAAGCAAGCGAATAATATTAGAATGGAAATTAATGAAGTAGAGAATCAAAAACCATAGGAAAAAAAAAAAATCAATGAAACCATAAGTTGGTACTCTGAAAGGATCAAACTTGGCAAACCTTTAGCTCAGACTGACCAAGAAAAGGAACAGAGAATAAATTACTAAAATCAGGAATAAAAAAGGGACATTACTACCTACCTTACAGAAACAAGAAAAGTTATAAAGGAATTTTATGAACAATTATATGCAAGTAAACTAGACAATTTAGATGACATGGACCAATTCCTAGAAACAAACTACTAAAGCTGACTTAAAAAGAAACAGAAAAAAATAAAGAGATTTAGTTACTAATTTAAAAACTGTCATAGAACACTCCATGCCCAGATGGCTTCACTGGTTAATTCTACCAAACATTTACAGAAAAATTAAATTCTTTACAAATTCTTCCAAAAAACAGAAGACAAAACCTTCCCAACCCACTGTATGGAGCCAGTTATTATCCTGCCACCTATACCCAGACAGGCTTCACGAGAAAACTAGATTATCTCTTCTGAATATAGATGCAAAATTCCTCAACAAAATATACTAGCAAATTAAATCCAGCAACATAAAAAAAAAGTACTATACACCATAACCAAGTGGGATTTGTTCCAGGAATGCGAGGTTGTTCTAACATTCAGAAATCAATTAATATAATACATCATATCAATAGAAAAAAAAAAGGAATCATTCTTTGCTCACACTAGGGAAATAAGAACAGAGAAAATGGAGAGAGTTCAAATTTTCTTAAACTTTTAAAAAAATGAGCCATACATAATGCAAGTAAAAGACAAAAAGAATGGAGGGATACCTATGAGGATGTTCCAGATTAAATGAGGCCATAGAGAAATGAAAGTGCAATACCTGACCCTCAACTGGAGGGAGATAAATGCTGTAACGGTCATCATTGGGTCAAAAGATGCAATTGAAACACAGTAGATTACACAAAAGTAAATGTATCAATGCTAAATTTATTAAAATTGAAAACTTCACTGTGATTCCTGACATAATATTCCTATCCTTAGGAAATACATAGTGAAAAATTTAGGAGTAAATAGTCATAATGCATGTTATACATTGGGAGAGAGAACAAAAGGGGTAAAATGTTAATAAGCCTATTTTCTAATGTGTAAAACAGACTGAGTTAGATGAGTAATGAATCCTGCTAAGAAATACATTTAAAATACAATTTTACTGTTTCAATAACAGAACTGTATAGTGTATCTTGTTATTGTATGCTCACTGTTGGTCACATCCAGAATTTTGAATGCTTTTTTAGAAAAGTCTCTAGGAATTAAAAAACAAAAAGACTGCTAGGGTTGACATATTCCACACACATCTAACTTTGATAGTTTCGCACTTCTCCTCCCATTCTCTCAATTGCTTCTTCTACTCCTTTCTCCATGCTTATCAAATAGTTTAATGTCTAACAGTTTATAAAATGCTTATTGTACAGCATAAATTACTGTATTACACATATATACATATATACAGGGCCTCCTACTCTTCCAAGGACAGTGCTGCACCACGCTGGGTATACAATATAAACAACTTCATTAATATGTAATTATTGTATTTATCATCATCATGCAAACTCTATTAATCCTGTGCTGGTGCTGACTTCTGGATCTTAGTTCCTCTTCTGAAAGGAGGGATTAAAGTGACCATACAAAAACCTCATGTTCTACTACTCTCTCCGTGACTTTATGCACCAGCAACAACAAACTACAATTCTAGTTCCAAAACAGCGTCCTCTTTCTTTCCCAATCTCCATGCCTTTCCACGCACTTTTCTTTCAACTTGAACTGTCCTCTAGCTCACACTCCCCTTCCTAAAATTGCCATGAGTCTGTGAACAGGATTGTCTGGAACTGTGCAATTGTGTCCACCTTCCTACATCTATACTCGGACATAATCCTACTTTTACCCTTAGTTGCTCCGTGAAGATTTGTAGACATGCCTTTCCCACTAACCTTGAGTTTCTTGACAACAAACAATCTCCAGAGGTTAGCACTATGCCTAATAATCACAGCTTACACTGGTTAAGTGAAAACACTTGAGTGCTTACCACTCGCCAGCTATTGTTCAGAGTGCTATGCCATGTTAACTCATGTAATTCTCATACAACCTTATGAAGCTGGTATCATTATGCTTATTTTAAAGATGAAGGAACAAGCACAAGAAGGGAAATACTCACTTTTAAGGTTTAAACAATCAATAAAACGTGGACGCACTCTCAGCTTCCAATCTTAAGACACATTCTAGAGTGCCATTCCAACCTACCGGGAAGTCACACTACCACGTAACTCTTCGTCTGTTCTGCAGATCATCTCTACCGCACCTTCTATTCTATTATCTGCCCTTCATCAGTATGCAGAAACTTCTCCCAGCCCAGGAGCTCAGAATCGCTCCTCTCTCAGGTCCCAGATTAATCTAATCCCTGTCAATTCTTTCTTAATCTATTTGTCCATTTCTATTTCATCTGCCACAAGCGACATGGAAAAGCTAGAAGCAGGTAACACTACTGTCTTCTCAGCAAACTCATTTTCAGGACGAAGACCACACAGCACACGGTCAGACTGAATTCCGGCCCAGGGCTTCCAGCTGTATTACCCGAAGGGAAAGTTACCTAATCCTGTGGTATCTCGGTTTTCCTCATCTGTAAAGCGAGACTCTACGACCTGCCTCCAGAGTCCTTTGGAGGATTAAATGACTTGTAAGCCACCTAACAGAGTGCCTGGCGGATAATCAGCCGCATCAAGTGGCGGTGTTATTTAACATCATGCTCTGCGGCTCAAAAGTTGAGTGGCTGTCCACGGACAGGATGAAATCTCAACATCTCAGCCCGACAGAGACTGACACGGTCTGAATCCATCTACCTCCCGCCACCCCTTCCACCATCCTGCTGCCCCGGCGAAAGGATAAGCGATGGAATCCCCAACTCGGCAGAGGCGCTCCGCCCTCCGTTCGGAATCCCGGTATTCTGACCTGCCCTCCAGGGTGCAACTCGGACGTCCCCTCCTCGGGCGTCCCCACCCCCGGGGACGTTCCCCTCCCCCGACCTCCGCAGCGCGGGCAGTTCCCCCAGTCACTCGGCACTCGCTCAGCTCTGCGGGAGCGGCCGGGGCCGAGGGGGGGGTGTGTCCCCTTCTTTGTGCATCAACACAGGCTCGCGGCGCCGCCGCACGCACTGCAGGGGTAACTCGCCGCCGCTACGAAAAAGTTACTCGCGGACGGGAAGACTGGCCCGAAAGGAACACAGCACAGCCGTTTTCAAACTGCGCAGGGGCCGGGCCGTTTCTGGCCGGAGAGGACGAAGGGGGCGTCCCCCAGGGCTCCAGCGCGGGGACGCGGGAGGGCGGGTCTCCGGCGAGGAGCGCGCGACAGCGGGAGCCGCCAAGCGGGCGGCGCGCGGAGGGGGCGGCGGGGACCCAGCGCCGGCGCCGGTCGCGGAGACGCGTCGAGCCCCCCCGCCCCCGCCCCCTCACCTCTTCCTCCTCCTCCTCCTCCTCCTCCTCCTCCTCCTCGGCAGAGCTGTAGGCCTCACAGTGGTGACGCTGGGTCATCCGGGGACCCGTTACCACCTCATTCTCCTCAGCGCGCGGCGGCGGGGCGCGCGGGACGAGGACCGGGCCGACTGAGGAGGGAGAAGAGGGGGAACCGGGCCGGGGGGCGCTGGCGCGGGACGCACGGCTGCGGCCGGTGGGTCAGTCAGCGAATTAGTTCCATGATGACCCTGGACCTGAGGCCGCCGCCGCCGCCGCCGGTGCCGCTCCGACCGCCGCCGCTCGAGCCCGGGTGGGGAGGGGGCTCCCTCTCGCCATAGGGCGGCGGGGGCCGGGGAGAGGCGGGGGGTGAGACCGGCTCTGCCCCTGCCCGGGGGAAGCGCCTCCTAGGGGAAATGGTGAAAGGGGGAAAGGGGGAAAAAGGGGAAAAAAAAAAAGGAAGGGGAAAGGGGGGAAAAATAAGAAAAAGCGAGACAGAGGCGCTGCCGCGTCCGCTCGCAGGGAAGGCTGGGGAGGGAGGGGGAGGGAGGAAGAAGTGCCGGCTTCCTCGGCTCCGCCCTCGCGGACCGATCCTAGATGTCTCACTCCTTGTAAACACTGAACTGGAGTCTCACCCTCCCCCTCTTTCTTCTCGGGCGACTTCCAGGTCCAACGAATGTACAGAGAAGTCCTGCCAAAAGCTGGGCTGTTGGAGATGGGCCGGGGAGGTCTTTGGCGCTGGGGTGGAAGGAGGGAGGACGTTTTCTGTGGGCTAAGAAAAGCCAAAGGTGCGTGGACTCATTTTCCTTGGCAGAGCGGAAGGGTTTCTCATGGGCCGCACGGTGACGTCAGCGCCTCCTCGGCCGGCTGGAAGAGGCGTGCGGTGGCCGGAGAGTGCGCTGCGCATGCGCCCCGGGGAAGAACGTCGCGGCCGAGAGCTGCGCGTGGGGGAGGGGTTCTGTCGGTCCGCGCTCTGGCGGGACGTGGCGCTGCCTGGCTTTGTCGAAGCCGGCTTGTTTCCAGGGCTCGCAGAAGGATTTACTGTGAAGTTGCTGCTGGTGTATCGTGTAGAGATCTTAGATTCTTTTTGGCCTGGCAAAAAAGTTCTGTGTTCTCTATGTACCGTTAACAGAGAAATAGAATTGCGGGTTTTTTTTCTCCATGTCGTGTAAGTGGAGGGAGATTCTAAAGCGCTTCAGAAATCGGTAAATTGGAGGGGATCATATTCTAGGTGTTTAAGGGGTCATTTAAAACCGTAAATTATACTGCTCACGGCTGGGAACCTGCTTGGTAATGCGCCAGGGGAATTCTATCCGCCTAACCAGCACGTCTGCGGATTTCAGAGGGGGTTTTAGTACCAGGTTCTTAACTACCGGTAGTGTGGTGACAGAAATGTGTTTTACTTGGTGTTCTGGTAATTTTTTTGCTCATCTTTTAATTGTTTTAATTACTTAAAAATATGTTGTATTACAGAAAGTTTTGAAAGAAAAGGGGGGAACTTAAGACTCAACCATTTATAAAAGTAATCTCATTTGTTTTTTCCATTTCTGTCTTAATGTGCCTGTTTTAATAGTTAGTGAAAAAATATGTGTGGAGCTTAGTCAGCGGCAAGACTCTAGCAAACCGGAAGTAACCAAGACAGACCTAGCTCCCGCCTTCATGCTGTTTACAGTCCAAACAGAGAATAGCCGTTGAGCCAATTATCACTATCTAAAATTACTCGGTACAGTGATTTGTTTACTGGTACATGTATCCCTTCCCTAGAAAATAAGGTCACAGATGGCAGGGATCTTGCATGTTTTCTTTCACCCTGTATCCCTGCATGTAAACGACTCAATATTTGATCACTGGCTGAATAAACAATTAGCAGTATCAAAAGCATTAGGATGGAAAATACAGGCTGCTATGGAAACACTTACCCCTAGCCTAGTTTGGGATATCAGAGAAGGTTTTTCTGAAGAAGGGACATTTAAGATGAGATTTGAAACCACTGGGGCTTCCTATTCCCTACTCCGATACAGGCAGAGGAAGCGACATGTGCAAAGGCTCTCTGAAGCTGAGGCATTCCGAAAACCTCTGACAGCTAGTGTGGCTGGCCCTCTGACAACTGATGGAGAGCAAGCTGAGGCCAGATGGGAAGGTGGGGGGCAGAGTCCATAGGACAGAGTAGGGAATAGGAAGCCCCAGAAGCATTTCAAGTGACTTGTAGCCTACGTTTTTTTTTTTTTTCCATTTAATGTAACCTTTTCCAGTATTACTACATGGTCTTCATACCAGAAAGCCAACATTTTTCTACACATAATACTCGAGAGTGTAGCAGTTTTGCATAATACTTTTGAGAGTATAGCATAATTTCATTCTTGGACCATAAAATTGCTTCTGATTTTCATTCCTGCACTCCTATAAGAATAATACAAATTCCACTCCTAGGTATATACCCCAGAAAAATGAAAATATATCTCTACACAAAAACTTACACACGAATGTTCATAGCAGCATTATTCATAATAGCCAAAAGGCGAAACAACCCAAATGTCCGTCAATTGATGAATGCATAAACCAAATGTGTTACACCTATACAGTGGAATCTTATTCAACCATAAAAAGTACTAATACGTGGATGACCTTTGAAAACATTATGCTAAGTGAACGAAGCCAGTCACAGAAGACCAGATATTATAAGATTTCATCTATGTGAATATCCAGAATAGTGACATCTATAGAGACAAAGTAGATTAGTGGTTGCTCAGGGCTGAGAGTGGGCATGGGCTTGGGAGGTGATACCTAAAGGGCATCTAATTTTTTTTTAAGTAAGGAAAATGTTCTAAGATTGCTAGTGATGATGGTTGCACAACTGTGAATATATAGGTTGAGTATCCCTTGTCCGAAATGGTTAACAACCAGAAGTGTTTCGGATTTCAGAATTTTTTTGGATTTTGGAATATTTGCATTATGTGCTTACTGGTTGAGCATCCTTAATCTGAAAATTCAGAATGCTTCAATGAGCATTTTCTTTGAGCATCATGTTTGCACACAAAAAGTTTTGGATTTTGAAGCATCTTGGATTTTCAGATTAGGGATACTCAACCTGTACTAAAAACCATCAAATTGTACACTTTAAATGGATTAATGGATTAATTGTGTGGTATGTGAATGATATGTTAATAAAGCTTTTACTCAAAAAATGAAAAAAAAAGGATTTAATTAAATCTTCATGCATGACCTCTTTGAGGTTATTTCTGGGTCCAACAGCATTTACATTCATATGGCTTTTGAAGAATACCCATTTGCAAAATTGCTTGGCAGAGGGTTGAACCAATTAAAATGTAACTAGGAATCTTTAAAAGCTCCCATTTAATTATATACTTATCCTTT